AGCTGGGCTGCCCCGGCAGGGAGAGGGGGGAGCTCCATAGAGTCCCTGCCGGCTGGGACCCCACGCTTCTGCCATCCTGCTCTGGGCCCCGCCGGCACTGACCCTGGGGCACCGGTGCGGGTCTTGTGCTCCTACTGCCTCCCCGCCCAGTCACACCCAGTGCCCCCCCAGCCCCACGGTACAGGGAGGGGGCAGTGCACAGCCTCAACACCCTGCTTGCCAGCAGGGAAGAAGCTGGTGCTGAGCACAGGGAAGAGTGGCCCTCCCAGGCGGATTGCGAGTGGCTGCAGCACGGGGCACCAGCCACACAGCGAGAGAGGAACCTCTCTTCCCTGCACTCAGCCCCAGCTTGTAACCTGACCCCGCTGTCAGCTTGGCAGTGGGGCCAGGTTACAAGGTGGTGCTGAATGCAGACAGGGGGGAAAAGCAGCCCCTCCCCCAACCCACGGCCGGTGCTCCCTGCTGCAGTCACTCGCAGTCCGCACAGGGCTGGCTGGAGCAGGCACAGGCAGCCCCACACGACTATTATAAGAAGCAAGATAGGGTAGGGCTCTTAATTAGAATATTTTTCTCATTCTTTTCTGAACATAGCATTTTTCCCTTTCTCACTTGACTTAAAAGAAAAAAACAACCCAAATCTTTTTGTTTTGTTTTGTTTTTTGTACTCTGGTCTCCTTTGAGTTGATGTGCTGTAACAAAATTATTAGAAATTTCTCATTTAAAAAAAAGATGATGACATCTCATCCATCTTGCTTTCTTTCATGCTTTCTCAATTTGTTTTCATTATGATATTGGCAGCATATCATTTAACGAACTCTTACAGCAAGAAACAAATGTTTTATCCTGTTTGAATGCTGTGATTAATCTTTCAGAAAACATACTTCTTACTCCTAATAGTTCTTGAAAATGCTGGCAACAAGCCATTAACATTTGAATTGAAGAAATACAAGATGATAATTCCAATGACTGGTTTTAAAAACCAGTATTTTGCATACCAACAAGGTTTTTTTTTTTTTTTGGTGGTGGTTGTGGGTGTGGTTTTACATTGTGAATGGGTTCTTACATTGGGATATAATGTCTAGCATACTATTTCATTTCTACCTTTCTTTGTTACTAGGTCTGCTCACACACTTCAGCCTTCTTCAGGGGATGAAATCTCCACCAATGTGTCTGTCCAGCTTTATAATGGGGAGACACAGCAACTTGTCATTAAATTAGAAAATATTGGAACAGAACCTTTGGAGAAACTGGAAGTCACAGCAAAAACACTCAGTACTAAAGGTATGTATGGTAGTCAGCCTAGAACGAATGTGAATTCTTAATTTTGCTATAAATGAACACAACATGGTTAGAAGACACTTAATGGGGTGAAATTTCAGAATAAAAACAGTTCTCTCTTGATAGACTAATTGGGTTCGTTCAGTTGGGCATCAATTCCAGCTCTGAAAAATGAGATCCAGTAGACCCTAGTGCAGGGGTGGCCGGAGTTACTCAGCCTGGTGAGCCACATCCGATCCTCCACTGAAGCCAGAAAGCAGGTCGGGGGGAGGTGCTGAGTGACTCGGAGTGGAGGTGACCACTGTTCCCCCTTCCTCCCCTCCCCACCCTGCACTGCCAAGCCACTTTGGCTTTCCTCGTGGGGAGCACACCCCCAGGGTAAGTGGTGCGGCTGCAGCCTTGGCCCCCAGCAGCCCAGTGTCCCCCAGAGCCGCCGTGGGCAGAAGTGGGTGGGCTTTGGCGGAGAAGCCCCAGAGTGCCGCATGTACTGTGCTGGTGAACTGTATGTGGCTGGTTTGGCCACCGTTGCCCTAGTATGTTATTGTTCTAGAAAATCTATGACAATAATCTATATTTGAGAGTAGTGTTAATTAGGAAAGTTTGTAATATAAAATTATAACCCATAAAAGGGAAAGTATCATGTCTAAAATAATCATTCCTCATCAGGTAAACCATCACTTGTTAATTCTAACATTATCTTACTTGAGAGCTTATTGGAAATAATATATCCATTTGTTCCCAGCAATAGTATCTGCAATAGGAAAAAATGTGGGATAAAACACTAGATAGGAACAGTGATGAAAAAAATTAAACCAGCTTGTAGATTAAAAGGGTTAGTGCAAATGCAGAAGGAGCAGAAGGCAGGTATAATTATTCCTGTCTCCATTGACTTTTTCCAAAGATTATGTTCTATTATTTTTTAAGTAGCCGGATGGCTGAAATGTTTCTCTTCTTTTATAAGGTTTTGATTTTTGGTTCATATTGTGAAACATCATTATGAAAATTATGTTAACTGGTTAAATGTAGAATCACAGATGAAAGCATGTTTTAGTACTGTGGAAATAACCTGCTACGCTGTAGTGGTTGTTCTTACATTACTGCTACAATAAGAAAATAACATTTGATAATACATGCTTTTTCATCACTGAGCATTTAAGCTCTTCATTCCTACAAAAGCACTTCCTCTTCATCTAAAAATAGTAGTTTTCGGTCATTAAGGTAGGAATAGGCAATTGAATTGGTTTAAAAGGCTGGGAAGAACATTGTGGGGGCTTAATACATGTGTCAGCTGATCCTTTGTAATTATCTCTCTACTCTTATCCTGTCCACAGTATGTGAGGCTAAAGTGTAGTAACTTAAATATACTTCATTCTGGGGTGATCTGCCTTGTTTTAACTCTGCATTGTGAATGTGTGGAACAGTTAGGCCACATTCAGCTGAAACATGGCAAATCCCTCCTTGATTTCCCAGTATAAATTGTTCATTGGTTCATACCCTGACAGGAGCTTTTCTGCCTGTTTTGAAAGTCTCTAAAAAGACTGCCTTAAAAACCAAGGGAAAAATAGGATTGTTATCTATATTAAAATAATCATAGAAAAGTAGGGCTGGAAGGGCCTTCAGGTGGTCATCTAATTCAACTCTGGGCGGGATCATCCCTGGCTAAATCATCCTAGAAAAGTGTTTGTCTAACCTACTCTTAAAAACTTCCAGAATCCCTGTTGTTCTGGATGCTACACTCGCATGTAATGAAAAGATTAAACCCCATTGTTAATCCCATAACTATATAACATTAAATAGTAATGCGTGGTTCAGTCTTTCAAGAGCTTGGTTTGCTTAGTATCATGGTAACAATCACTTAAACCCCCGCCCCAAAAATACTTAAACCTTTTATAGAAAAAGCTAGGTGAATGGTCGAAGAACTTGAACTGAGTAGTATTAAGTAAAATAAAAAACAGTACAGTTTCTTGTTCCTTTCCTTCAACTGTAGTCTCTCTTTATAATGAACACTCTCCCACCTCCCCCTGCTTGAGCGGCGGTTTTTTTGCAGATAAAAAAGATGGAAATGACTCTGTTTTATGGGGGGAAGAGTTTGAGGGGCTGGGGCTGTGGGGGTTTTGAGTCTCGTCCTGCTCCTTTGAGAGTGGGGAGACCAACATGCAAAAAAAGGAAAGAGGGAAGAGCGAAGATTAAAAAAAAAAAAAATTATACAATGCCTGCCCTGGTGCTATTTTCCTTTGCATCTTTGCAGCTGGAGGAATTCAGACTTGGCATTACGGTATAGCTCATCAACCATTCTGAGACCAGGCAAAAACGTGTTGGCCTGTTCAAGATCTTGCTTTTAGCTATGTTTCTGACTATAAGCTCATGGCATTGTGACACTCAGTATTTTGGGGTCCTTTCTGTTTTGTTCACTAATTACACTTGATTTCTTATTGCCCTGTTTTGGTAATTGAAACCTGGTTTTTGCTGCTCTTGTTAAGCTCATGTCTGGTAAACATGGTAGCCATTTTTGTTTGGGCTAGTTCAGTTTTTCTGTCATAAATGTCGAGTTTAGTTTCCGTACAACAAAATCCAAACAATTTACATTCTTAGTATATTAAGATATTAAATAAACACATTCGCAATTTCAGTAAACATTTTTCTGTATTTTACCCATTTATGCAACGTAAAGCTTGATGTTTCAGTTTCCCGTCACAGGAGGGTGGCTTGGAAATACAATCTGGCATGGCAGGGAGAAGGGAAGAGGAGAAGGAGGGAAATAATTAGGGATAATATGTTGCATTTCTATATACTTAAGCTTACTTTTCCTGCACTGTTGTTTATTTCTAGGATATGCTCAAGAATAAGCTTATAATGCTTGCAAGTTGTACAGTAAAGGCTTTCAGAATTTGAATGTTTAGGAAACTTGGAATTTGGAGCATCTATCCCACATAAAGGGAAAATACCTGTAGAAAAGGAATTCAATCTCTGTTGGAAGTATTACCATCTATAATGCTATTTGGAGAAGAGAGCCTACAATGAATGGGGAAAAAAACAGATTGATTCACAAGAAAATTATGTAATAAAGGTCAAAGTATAGGCAGAAACTTCTTTTACAAAATACTCCACAGATGGTACCTATCACCAACACCTTCGTAATGGATGCATCATGTTGAAGAGGCTCTGGAAAAAGAAGTTTCTTTTTCCATATGTTGTAGTTGTGCCCAGAGGCCCAAGTATCCTTGGGGGAAGTGAAGAGAAAAATAACTGTCGTGGTGGGCATCATGTCCCTTTGGATCTGCTTGTATGTCTGTTGAAGAGCCCAGTACAGGAACTTTACTTTGTGCAGAATTAAAAGCTGCTGTCTTTGAGGGAAGAAGGGAGGTTCAGGGAACTACAGACTGGTCAGTCTCACCTCAGTCCCTGGAAAAATCATGGAGCAGGTCCTCAAAGAATCCATTTGTAAGCACTTGGAAGACAAGGTGATTAGGAACAATCAGCATGGATTCACCAGGGGCAAGTCATGCCTGACCAACCCAATTGCCTTCTGTGATGAGGTGACTGGCTCTGTGGATGTGGGAAAAGCAACAGACGTGATCTACCTTGACTTCAGCGAGGCTTTTGATGCACCACCCACAACGTTCTCACAAGTTAGCTGAGGAAGTATGGGTTGAACGCATGGACTGTAAGGTGGATATAAAACTGGCTGGATTGTCAGACTCAAGGGGTTGATGGCAGCTGTAATCAATGGCTCAATATCTAGTTGGCAGCCAGTGTCAAGTGGAGCACCCTAGAGATTGGTTCTGGGGCTGGCTTTGTTCAGTACAAGCAACCCCTGCTTAACGCGGTTTTTTTTTTAGCGCTATTTTGCTATAGTGCTCATTTCACTTTGATACCCGTTTTCACTTAATGCTCATGGGTTTTGCTATAACGCTCGTGGGTATCATGCAGGGAGCCTTGTCGGTGGGCAGCCTCATCGCCATCTTGCTTCGTCAAAAATGTTTGTGCTCTGTGCTCTTTCGTGCCCTGTGCCCATTCATGCTTGTGTCACTGTCTTCCTTCATTTTTTGAGTTGCATTCTGAGTCAGAAACGTTCAGCTGACTCTGAGTGCAAGTGCTGAGAAAAAACAGCGAAAAAGCATAACGCTGGAGCTTCAGTTGGCTGTCCTGAAGTGAACTGGAGCAAGGGAACGCCAGAATGAGGTCTGTAGTGTTGAATTTGACGGGGTCAACTGTTAGGACCATATTGAAAAATAAAGACAAAAGAATGTGGTGGAATTGTAACTCCTTTGAATGCTTTGAAACTTAGTAGGAGTAGGGCTCCAATTATGTTAGAAATGGAGAGGCTGTTAAGTGTGTGGATTGAGGATACAACTCAACGCCATATGCCCACGAGTATGCTGCTTATTCAGAAGAAGGCTGAGAGTCTGTGTGATGATTTACAGAAAAAAAATGCCTGAGAGGTCTGCTTTTGAGCCTTTTTATGCAAGTAAGGGGTGGCTCAAAAAAAAAAAAAAGATTTAAGAGGTGCAGCAACTTGCATAATGTTTCTGTTTAGGCGGAGGCTGCTGGTGCTGACACCCGAGCAGCCTCCAGCTATAGAAATAGACTTGTGGAAATTATTGACGAGGGGGGATATACGCCTCAACAAGTCCTCAACACTGACGAGACAGGCCTCTTCTGGAAGAGGATGCCTTCTAGGACCTACATTTCCAGGGAGGAGAAGTCAATGCCAGGTTTCAAGGGGACCAAGGATTGACTGACTTTATTGCTTGGTGGTAATGCCCCAGGGGATTTTAAATTGAAACCGTTGCTTGTATACCAGTCAGAAAGCCCCAGGACTCTCAAGGGGTATCTTAAAAGCAGTTTGCCAGTTCTTTGGAAGTCTAACAAGAAGGCCTGGGTGACAATGTCAGTCTTTCAGAGTTGGTTCAGGGACTACTTTTGTCCTGCGGTTGAGAAATATTTTGCTGAGAACAATCTGTCCCACAAGGCACTTCTCATTTTAGACAATGCACCAGGGC